ATGGCTTGGCTTTAGATCTGCAAAACAAACTTAAAAGGAGTCAGATTAGTTCCTGAACCATTGTTTTATAGCTACCTATTGATAACTGTCATAGTTCTGGCAGGGTTTGACTCCATGGAGCAATTTTGGGGAACATTTTATTCTACCCATTTCATTATCACTGGAAATAACTTTTAATCACCTGTCCGTAGGGCAAGGCAAGCATCTAATTACTGAGCGTCTGCTTTTCTTGTCAGCCTGCAAATGACCTTCCTCCTCTCTGAAGCCCCAAGGCACCTTCCCTCACCCTTAGCTCAGAATGTCTCATATACTTCATTTTCTCTGTCTCTGGACCTCTTATGTATGTGGGATCTCTGACTTTCTCATGTAAGTGGGGTTCCCATACATACAAATGTAATTAAATTTGGTTATGCTCTTTTGTTAATCTAATCTCTCATGTAGAAGAACTTAGAAGGGTAGAGGAAAATTTCTTTCTCCCCCACAGCTCTCATTTGCCAAGGGAAACAGCTGAGTCAGTTTTTCTGGAGCAGGTTTTCAATGGTCTGGGGTGAGCTTACAGATGCCTCAGAGACACAGCACTTTATTCCAATTTTTCAAGGAATTTCTGATTTCTTCCTGTTTTGCAGGTGCTTGTCATTCCCAGCGGCATCGGAGTCTGACTCTCTTCTCTTCCACCAGGGAATATGGCACCCAACCGAGACCAGGTCTCCTGCCAGCAGTGAGAGTAGGAGAAAAATAAGCCCTGTGCTGAGTCTGATGGCATGGTCCTGGGGCAGACAGAGCAAACACACAGCTGCTGGCATGAGCTGTTTGCCAGAGACCTCTTCAACAGAGCAATGTCTAAGCTTTCAGTTGGAGAAATTAAACCTGTCATGATGCCATATCTGTGTGTCATCTCCATCACTTGCCCAGCATATGTGGTCTGCCAGTGTGTTATCAGTGCCTGCATGTGGGCACATGGACCCTGCTGTCAGCATTTCAGTTGATACCCTGGCAGACTCTGGAATGTGCCATGTAGCAACATGTGGGCAACTTAGGGCGTCTCTGTCCAGCCATACACAACACATGAAGGAAAAGTGTTGGGTGGAGATGCAAGATATGACCAAACTGCAGATGTGAAGTAGGGCCAGAGGTCCCTGACCCAATGGGCCACTGCTCCAGGTCAGTCTCTTGTTATCAGAAAGCTTGAGGTAGTGTGGGCAGCTCAAGACAAACTAGTGGCCACTACCTGGGATGTACCTCAATAGGACCAGAGAGTGAGGTGTCTAAATGTTACCAGGCGCATCCTAAGCAAGGTTGGGGTACAAGGGGCTCCAGGGAGATGCTGGCTCAGGGGCAGCGTGGGCTGCTTTAACCAAGTGTGCTTGATGCCTGCTCCTTTGGATCTTTATGACCTAGAGGACATTCTCACTGGCAAATACTTGCGTGTGTAATTTTACTAAAGATTCATTTAAAAACACAAACTTTATGCCTCCCCTGGCCATTGGGGAGTGTGGAGTTGTACAAACACACCACCCTCTGAGCAGGAAGATTGCACACACACTGCCTGCTTTCCAGGCTTCTCATCCAGATGTTTTGGGCCAAGGACCAGGTTTAGAATGGGAATTGCTCACAGTTTTTACCGCCACACACTGCAGGTGGCAATGGGAACTGCTCCACCAGCATGAACATAATCTAGTCATGTCAAGAAAAATTTAAATTACACACAATTTTGTTCCAGAAATTCTGCCTGTATAAATATATTCCATGGAAATAAAAGTAACAGATTGTCAGGTTGTATGTACAAGGATGTTTATTGTTTGCAGTGGTGAAAAACTGGAAACAACCTGAAGGTCCATCAACATGGAAATGATTAAATTAACTAGGGTCCATCTGCACTATGGACTATTACACAGCGCTGTAAAAAAAACGAGTTAGCTGGCTAGCAAGCTGCTGAACTGGAACGAGGGTCTTGATGTAGGGTTAAGTTACAGAGGCAAATTGCAGTGAAATAAATGTGATATGTATGATTATAGTATTTTGTAAAAGAGTTAATCAAACAAAAACTCTCCTTTGTATATTTGAGCACCATAAAAGTGCAGGCTACATCTCAGGCAGGAAGGAGGGGAGGCAAGAACAAAAAATCATAGGAAAAAATTTTTAAAAAGCGTACAATAAAGTTGAGGGAAAATTTAGAATATAAATGCTCACCTATACTATTATTGCAAATATTCACATTTGTATATGCAAATGGTAAGGGCTGGGAGGTTATAGGAAAAAATAACACCGATTTAATCAGATGCTAGGATTGTGGGAATAGTTTTTAAAATGGTCATCACTCAGAAGGAATAAGAGCGATGGTTGGTGAAATTATTCAAATTTAAAATGCCTCTCAAGGATAATTCAGAAGCTCCTCATAATGTCGTCCACCTAGCAGGCACTCGACAGCCCTTTGCTAAAATGAAGAACCAGACTCACATGGCCTGGGCTCGACCTCAGAACTCTTAAACATGAGCAAGGATGTTCAAGTACACAGTTTTGATTAAAAGCTCCATGAATAAAGTTCGCATCTGAATCACCATGTACAAGTTCACTTCACTCCCTGCTTAAATCTGGTTTCTGAAACTATTAAAGAAACGAGAAATGACAGCAGTTTTAGAAAATGTACCACATATGGACTAAGTGTTTTCATATCAGAAATGAAGTGATTTTGCTTATGTGGCTGTGTGTGCCCTTGTAATTAAACTCGGGAGACCCAGGGCCTGAAACTTCAACATCCACTTATAAGTATTTATTCTTTCTGCCTGTATAGCTGTTGTTATTATTTAGAAAATCAAAATCAAAAATTGACATGTAAGAAATAACCTCCATGTGGTCTGCACTTTAATTTTGCTCTGCGAAAGAATTCAAAAGGACCCTGGAAGTGGGCGGTGAGCGAGGTGCTGGGAGCATGAGAACCAAACCCTCTGGGGGGTGCCCTGTGCTGTTCCAGTGCAGAGTGGGCATCTCCCCATGGACCTAGGGGCAGGCTGCTCCCCTGGAATGCCCCACTCCCAAGCCCTCCGCCCCCTTTCTATGTTAAAACCTTCCAGTGTATCCTTGAAAAGAACATTGATAACAGTGAAGGCTCAGAACAAGAGGCACAATTATCAACATTCATGTTCTAAAGTACCTCGGATAAATGTGTGATAACACACTTTTTTTTGTCTTATAGACTCTATAGGAGAATCGAGCAGCTGTTATCTCCAAATATGGTTCAATAACTCCCATGGGTCTCTGAGAGTGCCCCAGAGGGCCTGGGGGGGGGG